CATCGATACTTTCTTTTTATACTGCGGAGGAACATCGATTTCATCATTTGTACTAATAATACTATAAATACTCATCTCATTCGGTTCCTCACAAACTTTCTGCTCAAGCGGGAAAGAAAACTTGTATCCCTCTGGCGAAAACGAAAGATTGAACTTTGAAACAAAATCGAATCCAAGCAATGCGTCCATATTTTCATCCTCTACCTCCTAAGAAGTGGAAGACCTGTTGTGTAGCGAGATTGTTTTATATCACACTTGTAAAAATAACAAAAAAGCGAATATGAGCTTTCGCTCCCGCTCCGGCCTAAGCTATCTTAGAGTAAATTTAGAGACTAACAACTACAAAATACAATTCAACTATAAACTATAATTCAAATTTTCGACAACTTCTTAATAGTAACAACAACAACTTAATAGTAAAGCAAATAACACCGCCCCCGTTGATGGCCTCCATCAGGCTTCAACCAACTGGCAGCCGCTCCAGCTTGTGGACCGCTCTCCTGTATTTCGCTCTAGAGCTAGTTCTGACGACAGCGACTCTGACCCTTCCGTCCGCGCCGGCGTGTGTTGCTCCTACTCGTCCTGTGAGCCACTGTTGTGGCGGCGATCAGGACCAGCGCGCCCGTCCGGATGTCGTCCTCTTTTTTCTGCCACTTCGACCGCGCCTGTAGGCCCAAGACGTACTCCCGGGACCATCGCTGCCAAAACATTTGCTTGATTGACGCAAGCACGTTAAACCCTGTTCGTCCGAGGTTCTCGGTGCTGGTGGGGCGATGAGCAGCCCGCCTTTCAACAGGTGTCCGGGAGTAAGTGCCTCGCCGTCGCTTGGGTCCTGACTCAGAGCCCCCAGGGGTCGTGAGTTCAGGAGGACTCCAACGAGGACGGTCTGCAGCTCCTCCGCGGTCAGCCTGGCGTTCCCTACCGCTCGTAGGAGTAGATTTTTTTACAGACTTCACACCTGCCTCCCATAGTCCGTCCATGTGCGGAGCCCGCGGCGGTATGAACAAATAAACAAACGCATCCGCTTTTTGATGCGTATTGAGTGACCGCGTCGACCTCGTCCTCGATTCTCCGACGAAGGTCTGCGAAGTGGCGACTCGCTCCGACGAAGTACGTCGCGTTGTCGCAGTGCACGATCTGCGGACATCCTCGGCGCCCAACGAACCTTTGAAAAGCCAATAAAAAGGAATCAGTTGAAAGGTCGGAAACTACTTCTAAATGAACTGCCTTGGACGCAAAACAAACAAATAAGGCAATGTAGGACTTATAGGGTGGCCTACCACGAATTTTCAATGTCGTATCAATAGGGCCACAAAAATCAACACCACATATGGAGAATGGGCGGAGAGCACGAATTCTATCTAAGGGTAAATCTCCCATGATTTGAGTCATCAGACGAGGCTTGCTTTTAAAGCAGCGTATGCATGACCATACTGTCTGACTGCAGACGTCCTGCGCATTTACGATCCATATGCGCTGTCGCAAAAGACTCACAAGTGCTCGTGGACCCACATGAAAATTCGACTCGTGCAAGTATCGGAAGTACCTCTGAGAGCGCTCTCTCAATTCGATTGTTGACAAAAATACTGGAAACTTGGCATCGTACCAAGTTTAGGAGCATTAGCTAGTTGCCCCCCGACCCGCACCAACGAAAAAGGTAAGCCCAGCCTCCTAGGATTCATGTAAAACGGATTTAGCCTTTGTAGACTGTGGAAAATAAATACATTAAAACGGATATTTTCTATTTCTTCTTGATACTCGTGCTCTTGAACTATTTCGACTATTTTCTTAAAAGCTTCATTATATTCGACAGGTGAGAGAACAAAATCAGAATTCACTACTTAAGCCGGGGGCTCTTCGGCCCCTTATCTTCCGGTTCCTTTAAAAACGATGGACGTGCTATCATCTGACCACTTTTGAATTTCAGCAACTCTATTCGATACAAACGTTGACAACGACGATGGATGGGAACGAATCCTCTTCTTAGTAACTTCGGAACCCGACCAAAATACACTTCGTTCGATCGTTCGAGGCATGAGTTTGAATAGGTGACATCGGCTCGGTAAAGATGAATCTCGGAATTTAAATGACAAAAAAATCTGTATTTTGTTCCACGCCGTATCCAAGTGCAGTGGAATTTACTCATCGCAATCTAGCTTATTTAACCAAAGTTCCTGAAATAGGATGTTTTCTTTTATAAGTATGGGGCTTAATAAGACAAGGGGGTCAAACAGCTTCGATTTCACCGAAAGAATGTTCCGCTTGGTCGCCCTTTGGCCCATGACTGATTGGCCGACTATATCTTATAGCTGCCATATAACTGAATGATCGAAAATTGCCTCGGATATACTGGTATTTGGTAAAATTACCAACATTGGTATTTTTGAAGATAGAAGCTTTTTTTTAGATTTTTTATTATAAATAAATTTGTTATATAATGATATTATCATTTGAGATATACAGGGTGACAATAAATAACCCAGACAAACATTTTTGATCATAACTTTTTAAGGAAAACAGTTACACAACTATTAAATAGGTATTGTGTTAACATATATTCAGCCGGTTTCGAAGTGGCTTCCTTGGGCTGCGATGCAGAGCCCTGAACGTTTCTGAAAATTTAGCGCAATGGGCCGCAGGTCTTCTTCCGATAATCGATCCCATTCTCGGAGCAATGATTGCTTCAGCGCCCCCAAACTTATGTGCCGTTAAGCACATGCCCTGGACTCCAAAATAGACCACACACTGTAGTTCATCGGATTAAGATCTGGCGAGTAAGGTGCCCATTCACTGGATGTGATAAAGTCCGAAAAATTGGCTTAGCACCAGTCCTGAGTCAATTTGGCGCTGGGGGGACGCTGAATCATGTTGAAACGTCCACTCCGTATCACCGAAGTGCTGCTGGGCCCAAGAAAGCACAACAGTTTCCAAAATGTCCAGGCGGTACACTTCCTGATTGATTTTGACCCCTTGATCGATGAAAACAAGGGGTGTTTTGCCGGTGGCGCATATTCCTCCCCAAACCATTAAAGATTGCTCACATTGACGGCACTCGATTTTTGCAGAGGTACCTGGAGCTTTAGCAGACCAGCTTCTGTCATTTTAGTGATTGTGCGCCTGTTGGATGGTGAATATCTTCTCGTCCGTGAAGAGAATACGCTCCCATTTTTGACCTGCGGCGCGACGCTTTAGCTGACGGCATCTTTGGAGTCTCACGCGCTTATTGTCATCCGTAAGAAGATGCATTTTTTGGAGCTTATAGGGCTTGAGAGGGCCCTATACGGCATTAAATCGCTGGGTAGCGTCAGAGACCGTTTGTTTTGGTATGCCAAGTAAACGAACAATGTCGCATTGGCGATTTCCTTGTTGAAACAGTTTTAAAATTGCACAACGATTGTTAGACATCCCGAAACAAATATCAAATTGATGGGAATCACAAAGATGTAAATATATTTGTTTCAGAAAAGTACAAGCTATCGATAAATGCAATTATTTAAGGGCTGCATCATAACACATTTATAATAGATTGCTTCAAAGTTTATCCGGGTTATTTATTGTCACCCTGTATATCCGGTTTTAGCTGCAAGGGTACATCAACCTCGGCTCCGCCCGAAGATAGCTTTCCTTTCTTGTTTTTGTTTTAAATTACTGAATTAGAGAAACAGATATTGTTAGTGGAGATATCCTGCCAATTTTTTGTAATTTTGGCTGACCCAGCTTAATTAAAAATTGAATTACATAAAACTTTCTTTAGCGTCTATTTGTCTTTTCTTCTGCTTCGCTCTTTCTTTATCGCAGTGATGACAAAAGCACTATCTAGCTCGTAGATCTTCCATTGGGATTGGGGCGATCTTGTGTATTGTTCGTTGAAGTTATTTCTTGCTCGTCCTTTAGTCGACAACTCGGATCTTGTCCATTTCGGTGATGCTGGCAGGTAATCGGGCCAGCTTCCAAGTTTGTGGTGGAGCATTATCTCTTGGATGTGTGAATGTAGTCACGGTGTCATATTTTCCAGAACTGCTGTTTGATGAATGCATCATCAAAAGTCAACGCCACTTATTAGGAAAGGTCTGAATCCATTTAAGCGATCAAATACCAAGTTTCCCATTACTAGAGGCATCATTCTTGGTTTTTGAAAGTGAAAGAAAAGTAAAAAGTGAAAGGAGTAAAGAGTGAAATTAAAAACTTAAAGCTTGCGTGAAAATTTGATCGGTGTAGATGATTGGCAAATAGTTCTGTTAATTGATGTACTCAAGGTAGTATGGATTGGGTGCATATTATGTTCGTGATGTAACATATGTAACAGTAATGAAACAGTAACGTTTGTGAGTAACATATTTTGTAGAAATGGAGTTTAAGTGAATCTCGTTGCTGAAAACTGACTCTTAAATGTGCGCCAAAATTTCACGGCAAAATTTGATCAATTTCTTCACTTAAGTGTACCGGAAACTGTGGATTTTGGAACCAATGTTTTTTCTGGACTTCTCCGTGAAGCCTAATGGCTATAAAGCAATTAAAAATATGCGTGAAGGAAAATAAAATTTTAAATTGTCCGCCTGTGGAATTAAAAAAGCCAGTCCAAGGGGTTTAGTAGACTTATCTCAATCTAAAACAGTGGTCGGCACCCCAATACATTGATATGATTTTAACGCATTAGTATTAGTAACGAATAGCAGAAAGTAGGCAGTGATCATGACGTTTCACACATTTATACTGTGTGTGTCTGGCAGAGCTCGGGCAGAGAAATTCCCTATGTCCTCGGGATAGGGTCGTGCTGACCACTAATCTAAAAGAATCGAAACTATCGAAATCGAAACTAAGAGTTGAAATCAAAAACTACGTTTTTTTCGCTCAGTGAATGCTCTGCTCTCATTGGTTTTTTCTGCTACGCATACACTTAAATTTTAAACATGTGTGCGTTTTGCCAAAAATTAGACAAAAATGTCTACTTTCTGAAGTATACAAAATTTTAAATTGATTTTTCTTTATAATTTAAATAGGTGTGCTTTTATCTATGGGCATGAAGGAACATTGGAGACTTTTACAAGAGATATGCAGGAACGATTGATTCGAGAAGTTATTGAGCCAATGGCATGTGATGGTCTTCGGACCATATCTGTAGCTTATCGCGACTTTGTGCCTGGAAAAGCTGCAGTTAATGAAGTACACATTGATGGAGAACCTAACTGGGATGATGAAGAAAACATTATGACGAATCTTACTTGCCTTTGTGTAGTTGGGATAGAAGATCCAGTGCGTCCTGAAGTTCCCGATGCAATTCGAAAGTGCCAACGTGCTGGTATAACTGTTCGCATGGTCACTGGAGACAACATTAACACAGCACGATCTATTGCTAGTAAATGTGGTATTCTTCGTCCTAATGATGACTTTCTTATTTTGGAAGGCAAAGAATTTAATAGACGTATACGGGATAGCAACGGAGATGTAAAATGTAAAAATTTGGTAATTTTGTGATTTTTATTTAGTTTTCTTCCAGATTCAACAACATCTTATCGACAAAGTGTGGCCCAAACTTCGTGTATTAGCTCGTTCATCTCCAACTGACAAATATACATTAGTGAAAGGTAAGTATAGTTTATTAAAAGAAATAATAAAAAATAAAAAATATTGTTCTAATGCAACTTGCACTTGAACAAGTTGGTCGTGGAGAAAGTAGAAAGGTTCCGAATATATTCGTCTGAGGCTGATTTTATTGATATAAAGTTGCAATATTTATAGCTAAGTTAGTAATTAATGGAGATATAGAACAAAATAAAAAGAAGAAAGGAAAGCTAACTTTGGGCGGACCAAATTTCATATACCTTGTCGTTATTATCATTAAAATTACCAAAGTTGGTATTTTTACCAAATTCACGTCGTATCATTTTGCCATAATCCATATGGCAGCTATAAGATATACTCGGCCGATAGGTAATGTTAGGTCGGTCCGCCCATTCAAAATCTCATCTCTCTTGATGTTTTTATAACCGGTTCTCGGTATATACCCCATTAGAAATTTCCTTTGCTCTGCTTCGAAGTTTTTACAACGGCTACGGCTACGATAATTTTTTGCTGTTGCTATTTCTATAGTTTTTTCTGTGACAAAACTCGGAGCAGAGAACATCAGCTTTCATCAATCTGGTGTAGCTCTGCTCCGGCTGTCCTTAAAGTGAGAGCAGTAGCAGTAGCAAAACTATGGGAGTAGCATAATTTTTCAAACCCTGCGACCTACAACATTTCATTAGTATCGGCCGACTAAAGCCTATAGCTGCCATATACACAGGTGGTTTTTTTTGGTACTTTTAAGATAGAGGCTTAAGGTTTTTTAGTTGTTTCTTTTAAGAAATGGGTATTGTAAGAAAATTCGCCAAATTCGGCCAACTATATCCGATATTTTTTAATTCCGGATTTCCGGTCTTAAATGCAAGGCTTACACTTAGGCTATTTCCCAAGCTAGCGTTTCTTTCTAGAACCTCTCCTCATTTCGGATAAAAATCGACCATATTTTGAAAATATATTGTGAAAGATAAAAAAGGATACAGGATTCTGCTATGACCAGTTATTGGTAGTTTATACATTTCCTTTTTTTAAGGCCTCTTAAAAAATATAAATCTTTTATTTTTTATGACTTGTTTTTTGGTTCCAGTCATACAATAAAAAATTTAACTTTTTTTGATTCGAGAAAATCCGATCTAAAGAACTGAAGATATCATACACGATCTTTAGATCGTTTCGAGTTTGAAGATACGTACCACAGCGCACATGACAGGGGTACGTTCCAAATATGTAACTTTCATTTTATGTAAAAAAAAAATTGTATTTATTCCAAAAAAAAACCGGAGAGGGTCCTGTTAAGGAATATGATATTGCTTCTAGCTATCAATCGTTCAATCAATTTTTATCAAATTGAAAAATTTTAAAATTTGCTTTTAAAAAAATTAAAATATATAAAAACCAATCATTTTCGTTTGCCACCTGCTGGGATCTGAACCATAGAGTGTGGCGTTGAAAGTCTCACGCTCTACAAAATCAGCCCCACTAGCTTAAAAATAAACGCTCTAAAATTTAACAAAATAATGAATATAATAAATACAAGAGGAAGATTACGAGGAAGAGTGTTGCTCAGATAAGGTGTTAACAATTAAAGTTTTAAAGCTTTAAAATTAGAGCAAAGCGAATTTATGTTATTGTAAATGTAAAATGTAAAGAAACCATATGTAAATTTACAATGGCTAAGGAGTAGAGGACAGAAGTTTCCAGTCATTCTAATTAAAAACAGCGAAGCGAATTTAGTTATTATACCCTTGCAGAGGGTATTATAATTTTGTCCAAAAGTGTGCAACGCAGTGAAGGAGACATCTCCGACCCTATAAAGTATATATATTCTTGATCAGGATCACCTCCTGAGTTGATATGAGCATGTCCGTCTGTCCGTCTGTCCGTCTGTCTGTCTGTCCGTCTGTCTGTCCGTTTCTACGCGAACTAGTCTCTCAGTTTTGAAGCTATCGTCTTGGAACTTTGCACACACCCCTCTTTCCTTTGCACGCAGTATATAAGTCGGATCGGCCGACTATATCCTATAGCTGCCATATAACCGATTGATCGGAAATAGTATAACTTCGGTGTTTTTAGAGTTAGAGAGATCAAATTTGACACGAGAGCTATTTTTGGCAAACCATTACGACATGCCAAATTTCATAAGGATCGGCCGGCTATATCTTATAGCTGCCATATAACTGAACGATCGGAAATGACCCAACTTTCGTGTTTTTGAAGATAGAAAGCTGCAACTTGGTACAGATTATATATTTGGTCAGTTGATCCGACCTACCAAATTTCATAAGGATCGGCCGACTATATCCTATAGCTGCCATATAACTGAACGATCGGATATGGTACTTGGAAGAAATATCAACTTTCGTATTTTTGAAGATAGAAGTTTGGGACTTTTTTTAGATTTTGTATTGTAAAAAATTGGATTATATATTCCTATTCCTATTAGGATCGGCCAACTATATCCGATGTTTGCGATATATATCCGGTTTTAACTGCAAGGGTATATAAACTTCGGCTCCGCCCGAAGTTAGCTTTCCTTTCTTGTTTTTGTATTGGAATGGTAAAAAAACATCGATATGCTAAAAAATCTTTACATTTTTATCGATTTTTACTAGTTTTACCATTACCATTTTTATACCCTTGCGAGGGTATTATAATTTTGTCCAAAAGTGTGCAACGCAGTGAAGGAGACATCTCCGACCCTATAAAGTATATATATTCTTGATCAGGATCACCTCCTGAGTTGATATGAGCATGTCCGTCTGTCCGTCTGTCTGTCTGTCCGTCTGTCTGTTTCTACGCAAACTAGTCTCTCAGTTTTAAAGCTATCGTCTTGAAACTTTGCACACACCCTTCTTTCCTTTGCACGCAGTATATAAGTCGGAACGGCCCGGATCGGCCGACTATATCCTATAGCTGCCATATAACTGATTGATCGGAAATGGTATAAATTCGGTGTTTTTAGAGTAAGAGAGTTCAAATTTGACATGAGAGCTATTTTTGGCAAAACATTGCGACATGTCAAATTTCATAAGGATCGGCCGACTATATCCTATAGCTGCCATATAACTGAACGATCGGAAATGACCAAACTTTCGTGTTTTTGAAGATAGAAAGCTGGAACTTAATACAGATTCTATTCTATATTCCGGTTTAACTGCAAGGGTATATCAACTTCGGCTCCGCCCGAAGTTAGCTTTCCTTTCTTGTTAACAGAGTAAAAATGTAAGTATTACAAATTACAGGAGAGCTATTTTTGGTAAAATAATATGACATGCCTAAATTCATAAGGATCTATGTCCTATAGCTGCCTTATAACTGGACAATCGGAAATGACTCAACTTTTGTGTTTTTGAAGATAGACCTACACAATTTCATAACGATCGGTCGACTATATCTTATATAGCTGCCATATAACTGAACGATCAAAAATGGTATTTGATAGAAATACCAACTTTGGTATTTTTGAAGATAGAAGCTTATGACTTATTTTTATACCCTTGCAGAGGGTATTATAATTTTGGTCAAAAGTGTGCAACGCAGTGAAGGATATTTTTTTATTTTTTATAATTATTTGTATAGTCTTTAGTCGCCTCTCCTCAAGGTGAATCTTATTTGGGCGAACTTTTCGTGATTAATCACAATGTTCCATCTTTGAGGCCACGGATCGAGGGCATCGAGCTGACGCTGGAGACAGTCGAAGGCATCCTGAGGCAAGCTTGCCGAGGGTAGAAATTCTGTATCGTCTGCATATGTCGCGGCTAGCAAACCTCCTTCCTCTATAACAGGCATGTCTGCGGTGTATAGCGTGTAGAGGATTGGGCCAAGTCACTGCCCTGCGGACTCCTGGGGGGTGGGGTACTCGTGGGGTATGCTCCCATTGATCTTCATCAGTAGTCCCGGATGCCAGACTTTGTCAAATGCCTACTTGACGTCTAGAAAAACGGCACAACAATATTGCTTCCCTCCTATCTACCTATGTTCCCAAGAGTGTGCTATCCTTCCTGCGGCGGCACGCGGTCCCATCCAGATTTACGGATGAAGGCTACAAGTCTGCGTGGAGCGATCTCCGCGAGGTCTGTTAGGTCCGTGAGTGCTGCTGCGCCCAATAATTTGAGTCGGCTGCGATCCAGCGCAGGGCATTGACACAGAAGGTGTGCGTCTGTCTCTTCCTCCTTTACATCCCCACAGGTCCTGCAGAAGTCATAATGTGCTTCCCCGATAGCTATTACTTCTGCTTGGTAGCTATTACTACAATGGTCGGGGAATCTGAAGGACACAATTAGACACAGCCGTTCGCAATGGAAACCGGCCATTCAATTTTGAACCGTCTGTGTAAATATGAAGGGAACCGGCTGGTCCCGGGATTTGTGTGGCCCATTCCTCCCTTGTTGGAATGGATACTTATATATTTTATGGTGGGATGATCAATAGGTACGCAGTAGTTTGTAGCCCCCGTTGGCGTGCAATGGTATAGGTCCAACTTGGTATGTCCATAGTCGATCCTTTTTCATATGCCCGTCTCGTGTAGCCTAATTGCCGATAGCGTGGCTATCTTGACCCCTATTATCTCTACCGGTAATAGGTCGAGTATGAAGTTTAGGGTATCCGTCGGTGTAGTACGTAGGCTGCCTGTGATACAGATTCCGGCATCCTTTGCGTTTTTCTAAGTCCCTCTTTACATTTGGAGTTTGTGAGAGCAGGCCACCAGACCACTACACCGTAGAAAAGGGTGGGTCTTATGACCGCTGTGTAAAGCCATCTGACTATCTTTGGGGACCTTCCCCATTCATTTCCATAGTGCTTGACTACCAGTCCAGTTTCCTGTCTAGCGTAATCCCCAAGTACTTAGCGCTACCGCTGAGGGAGAGTTTTCTCCTGATAGTTTTGGAAGCCTTAAGTTTGGTATTTCGTACATCCTGGTGAAGAGGACAAGCTCGGTTTTGGATGGGTTTACACCTTGTCCATTCCTAACTGCCCAAGTTGAGAGGACCCTTAGTTTGTCCGTCATGCGGTCACACAGAGTCTG